ATATTTACCAGGCCCCTCTCATGCTCATGCAGCCCGGAGGAATAGGGGTGTTTCCTTGGGATTTCTGCCCCGCACTGGAAGGGGACAGTTAGGGATTGTTTCCATCACTTCAGGCCACCGTAACTGGCTCTTAGGAAGTAGGATTGGGAAGTCAGTGCAGCGTCAAGCATGGGTGCAATCCAGAGCTCAGTCCATGCGAGCTCTCATTTGGTAGTTTCATAAGGCTCTGCTGAAGTGGAGAAGATATGTTCTTCCAGCTGCTTCCTCACCTGAAAATGGCCAAATAGTGCTACATAACTCCTCTGGCTCCTCTGTGCCACTGTCAGCACTCGAGATGGTCAGCACCTCCCGCTGCCATTTCTTGTGCATGGGAGGGAAATGTGGCTCCTCCAGCTCCCCCATGGATGCAGCAGGAGCTTCCAGGCGGCCTTGGATATGCTCCATGGCTTCAATGACTTGGCTGCACATGACATGGAGTGTCTGAACCTTCCAGGTTTGGCTTTGCCCACTGAAGTTGCCACAGCCCAGGGAAACATCTCCATGGGCTTCCAGGAGTACAGCAGGAGCCACTGACCACGCTCTTTGAGGCAGCTGCCTAGCAGACCACAACTCTGACCTTCTCACAGGAACATATGACACTGCAGATTGGGCTGGAGGTCCAGCCACTCAAGCCTCCTGCATCCAACAGGGACCAGAAGCAGGTTGCGATGAATGCTGGGGATGAATACCACAATGGAACAGACACTGAGCCAAGTTTCCCCAGCATAGTCTTTTAAGCTTCTAACAGTGTGTTGCTCCAGGGCTTTCTCCATCAGAAATGGTTTCTCCATATTTACCAGGCCCCAGTGGGTTTCTTTTCTGTGAACTTGTCTCACTTACCCTCAGAGCCTTTTAGCAGCCACAGCATCCTGTGCCCAGGAGCTCCAGAGCTGGACTGTCCCCATGAGAAGCCTTCTCTTTCAACTTGTTTTGAACCTGCTTCCCACTCATTTCACGTGATGTTCCCCAGTTCTGAAGAAGCAACACACCCCCATCTCCCTGGACACATTGCTGCTGTTTTAGCTGTTTCTTTTCCAAGATGAGGGATCTGGTGTTCTCCAGGGGCTTCCCAGCGTTATGGGGGACACAAGGCTTCTCCAGCCTCTCAGATGTGGCTGCTCCTGGGGAGGCATTGGAGAGCCGAGTGTCTGAATCCCAGCCAGCCCTCAGTGCCATGTTTTTTTTCTTTTCAGATGAAGAGGAGGAGCTGAACGAGGACACCGTGGAGAAGATTGTGAGATGCATCATCCAAAACGAAGGTGAGCATTTCCTAGGGCTGGCCTGGAGACGCGCTGACCACTTTGGCTGACGCATTCCCTTTTTCTTCTCTCTTCAGCAAATGCAGAGGCCCTCAAGGAGATGCTGGGGGACAATGAGGGGGACATTCCAGTGCCAGTGCCCAGGTGAGTAAAGCCTGTACTAGCTTGTGACTCTTGCAGATTAAGGGGGAAGCAACCTTTGGGTATCACCTTGGTCTGGAGACTTTGCAGCCAGACCCTTTCCAGCTTGTTATAGGGCATCTTCTCAACTAGAAGTCTTGCTCCCCTGAGGGTTGCAATGAGTGCTTCACCCCACTGTCGAGGGGAATAGTTCTTGCTCATTTCTGCCCTTACATGAGGTCCCTTACAGAGCTGCTGCTTCTCAGGGCTTGCTGCAGTGAGGCTGCACCAAAGGTGGGAAGTCTCCTCTATATAACATGACTTGTCATGTCCTTCTCCTATTGCAGCCTTTGTCCTCACCGTAACAGTCAGGACGGGGGCCCACCACATCACCACACAGTGCATCTGGGCTCCACGCAGGCTCCCTGCATCCACTGCAGCAAGAGGAAGAGGCACCCACTGCATCGGCAAGGACGGTCCAAGGAAGGTAAAGGCAGGATGCATCCTGGAGAGACCACCGTCTTCTCAGTGGGCAGGTACTTAAATGAACCTTGTCAGAAATGGTCCATCTGCTCTGATGGACCTAGCATCATGGAGATTCTTCTCAGTTCCCCTATTCCTCTCCCCTTCCTCACTTGCCCCACACCAAGCACCCTCTTGCTCTTCCCCATTTAGATGCCCCAGTAGTAGCTCTGCAGCTGGGAGTCCCAAGGACCCAGGTGCCTCCTGCATCTGGAAATGCCTGTGGTATGTGGCAGGCCATGACGCACCAGTGGCTTCACTCCTCCTTCTCCAGCAAGGTGACTCAAGCCTGGGCTGTCCTGCTGATTCAGTGCTGGGCAGAGCCCCAAATCCAGGTCCTTTCAAAGCCTGCTCTCCCAGCTACACACAAGGGGGGCTCTTGCTGCGCAGCAGAGCCCAGTTTTAAGGATCTCATTAAGAGGCAGAGGAGGTGACAGCAGGTCCCAGGTGCAAGTTACCAGCCATCCCTGTCAGAATGAGAGAGTGGTTATGCTGCTCCATCATCTTTGCCTCTAATGATGGTTGTAATTAGATACCATGGGAAGAATATAAGAATAGGGGAGTGGACCTGATACTCCCCACAAATGCTCTTCCAGTCCCCACCTGTTCTCACCTCAAGGCACTTCCTGAGCTTCCTGCGGTCTGTGTAGTCAGTAACCTTCTGTACAATCTGCACTCTTGTCCAGTTACCCCATTCCCTAGTAGAAAAATTTAGTGTGCACAAGACCTTTAGCAAGGTCTTCCAGGGTTCTGCTCCCTACCATTGTGGTGACTGGGGCAGGGTGACAAGCAACTGCTAGTCCCTGGATAGCCACCCCAGTGAGACACAAAGCTCTACTGTGCTCAGGTCCTGCAGCAGGTCTTCATTCAGAGCCTAGGCCTTGATGAAGCTCCATGTTTTGGTCCAGAGAGATAGTCCTTTCATGGTGGAGTTCAGCCAGAGTGGGTATGGATTTTTCCACCATCAGAGCTAGGAGTCTCAGTAAGGAGGTAAACTGGGGGCTTTATGGGGAGCTAGTAAAGGGGAGAAACATGTCAGACCTCCCCATACTGAACTCCAGCTAAGCTCATATCTTCTGGAGACCAACAGCTTCTGGCTTCCTCTTTGTCCATTGCTGTCAGCTGTCCTTGGTTTGAGGGGTGGTGTTTGGTACGTCAGACCTCTGCAGAGTTGCTTATTTGTGTCTTATCTCATTTCCTGGCTGGTGCCCAGCTCCTTCCACTCCTCTGGGTCCTTCAGCCATGCTCTTCTCAGTCACCTCAGAGTGCTGGAGAAGGTGATCTTTTTTCCTAGAGACGCCTTCCCTCAAATCTTGGTTTCCTCTCTTTATACTTACTATCCCGTGTCACATCATCCTCCTCCATGGGACAGTAATTACATTTCTCCAAGGTTATATTTTAAAAGTTTGCACTTGCTGAATCTCCTTGGTGTGAGGTCCCACTGCTAAGAGGCCTATGTACCCATGAGGTACAGAACTACCTCCAAATTCTAGTTCTCATTTCCAAGCTGTCCCTTTTGCTCTTTCAGATCCTGGATGACTTTTCTGGGTCTGCCCTTGCTGTGTCTTATTTACTATGAATATTCTGATGGGACAAAGTACCTCAATTTGTGACTGACCCTACATACAAAAGCTCCTTTAACTCACCTCTTCTGTTGTAATCCTCAGGTCTTCTTCCTCTCTCTCTTTTTTTTTTTTTTTTTGCTATTGCTTTGTTTTTGAAAATAGTGGTTGAGAGTCCAGCCCTCTTCTCTATTACCTATAGCTCATTGGCTGAGTCTGGTCCCTGGATGGTAGACACAGGCTCGATGCTGGAGAAAGGAAAGGAGTGAATTTAGGTTCATCAAGATTGTCAGGGGCTGGAGAATGTGGCATGTATGAGAAGTCTAAACAGGGAATATAATTGCTCACTAAAACTACTCAGAGGGGTGGGTGGACTTTAAAAGAAGATGGAACTTCTCAGACATGCACAGAGAAGAGCAAGAGGCAATGGCCTTACCATCCAGAGGTTGGTTACATTACCTCTTGTGCCCCCTCCAGTCAGAACCCTGCCTCTTCTTTGAATCTGTTCCCAGCTCCTCCAGGCTGACATTGCTCAATGGCATTATCATGAAATGATCCTTCCACTCATGCCTCCTCCCTGTCCCTCTTTGGGAGTGGGATGTTCTTTGGTCTTCTCAAATCACAGTGCTGATGCCTTGTCTCCAAATATCTGGATAGACCTGAAAGATCACATTTGCTGCTGCTCGACCTGACTCAAGCAGTCCTCTAGGTACCTCATCCAGAGTTGAAGCATTTCTCTTCTTGACCCTTCCAATCATGAGCAGCATTTCTGATAATGGTGCTGAGGGGTCTGTACTGTCCACAGACTGCAGACTGGTCATCAGTCTAGTGGTGGTGTCCATCTCTGGTGTCTCATCTGGCATCTGGTTTTGTCTCTCAGATATTTCTTCTCAGTTTCTTCCTTCAGAATGGCTGTACTGCCATGTGCTTGACCTCTGCGTCTTGTTCTTCATCCAGCCCCAGCAGTGCTTGAACCTTGCTGCTGAAATTGTATTTTGCCCTGATGCTGGCTTGCAGCTGCACCTCAGCAGAGCCAGGGCTGTCTGCTGCTTCTCCACGTGTGACTCAAGTGCAGGGAGAGCAGTTGCTGGGTGAGTCATGGGCTGCATGAGGTCTCTGTGGTGGGATCAGCATTCTTTGGCTGGTGGACACCAGCTCACTGTGGAAGAGATTTCCCGTCAGCTGATCCAGCAGTGGCTTGCATCGCTTATGAAGAAGAATCGAATCACAGACTAAGTCATAACCAGCTCACTTGCAATTTAGACTTTTAGGTTTTGTCTATGTGTTACCCCTCACAAATCCCAAAGTTATGGTAGATCCCTCACTTCTTTCTTCTCTCCAGGTGCAATATTGCATCACCTCTAATTATAAAAGCACCCTTTGTGGATGTCAGACCAACTTCTGCAGCTGTTCTCCTGCCTACCCTGGAGCTTTGAGCTGCTACCTGGTACATAGTGGAACCTTGGTGAACCTCCTAGGTACCAACCGTTGCTCCAGGGGACAGCACACAATGTCCTGTGGCAGTTGTTTTAGCCAAAAAACTCCTCTTGCCTTTGATTCCTGTAGCCCAATATAGATCACTCTGCTGAAATCCCATCCCTGCCCTCACTTAGGGTGAGCTGTCTGCCAAAAACTGGCTCTTGTCCTGCTGATGGCAGTCAGTCACTCGGCACAACATCCATGCAGCTCTGCGTGGCCATCCCTTCCTCACCAGGCTCAGCTTGCATTTCACCTTCTGAATCAACACCTGAGTTCCTGTACAAGGTCCTGTTCCTCCAGGTTGCATCTGGGAGCATTTCCAAGAGTTGAGACCCATCTTGCTGCAGGGAGGACAGGCTGGCAGGGGCTGCACCAGCCAACATCTGGATTGACCTTTTAATCCTTCTCTTTCTATTTGTTTTGCGAAAAATGAAAGGGAAAAAGGGGTTAAGTCAGTGAATGGGTCTGACAGGTTGGAGATCAGCACCAGATGATGACAAAAAGGACATCTGAGGCTAGAGGTGCAGGCTAGCTGGAAATACAGCTGGGAGAGAGCAGGAAAAGGATTTTGATCCACTCTGTCCCTGTTCCAGGTTTCGTGTCACACACATCGGGAAGAAACCCACTTTTCATGAACAGCAGGATGGTCCCCTGCCCGATGGCAGCCGGGAGCCCAGCACAGAGGAGCTGGAGCACAGCAGCGACCGGCTCCAGCGAGAGAGCGCTCGCAATGGGACTGTCCCCATGGGTGGCCTGCAGAATGGAGCCGTCCAGAAAGCTGCCCAGAGTGGCAAAGGTGGGGAGCAGAGCCGCTCCACCACCCCAGCCCCAAACACACCAGCCAGCTCCAG